ATGGGTCATGGGCGTTAGTGTATCTTACTCACACCTTGAATCACTAGTGTTCTAACTAGCCAGCATGATACGGTATCGTATCGGGATAGGGAAGGATTTCGAGCACCTTCAAGCTCCAAGAACAAAAGAGGCGAGAAAGAGAGAAAGATTGAAGTTTAGGAGAAAGTATTTTCTTTATTCATTGATAAATAATTCATTGAAATGGATACATTTATAGCTAGTACATCTAAAGAATCCTTACCATAGAAGGAAACTAAATAATCTAGGATTCTAATTATAAATGGTAACAAATATCCTAACAATAGAATATTACTTTCTAATAATAATATAATTAACCATAAATAATAATACTACCTAATATAATAATAATAACCACTAACCATTAATAATAGTAATAATAATAATAATAATAATTAATCTCGTATCACTCTCCCCGCCTCAAAAACCAACTTGTCCTCAAGTTGGAAATTCAACAAAGAATGGGGAAAAAGTGTCATCCATCGTCCATCCTCCGGGGTCAAACACCTTCGTTATTGAAGCATCAAAAGAACGTGTTGGACCTACAACATCTCCAACACTAGCTAAATAATTGCATGCGACCAACTCGATGAAAAGAATGCAACCGGGTGCAATACTTCTTGATTTACAGATAACAATAACCTCAGCATCAGGAATTCCAAAGCTTTCTGTGCATCCATAAACAATTAGAATGTCCCCAAAAACTTCCTCGCGGCCTTGATGGCGTGCATCCTCATGAACATCGTCTGTAGGAACAAGATCAGTAACAATAACAAAAGCATCATCGGAAATACCTACCGGATGAACAACAATTTCCCCCTTCGTCGTGAGTGACTTATTGGTATTCATGATATTGGACCCACTTTTCTTGTCATCTTCAACATGTGGTTCATCGCTTAAATTTTCCACAACAGGACCTGTGTGTGCGGCTGTGTTTTCCACCAACTGAACAATCATGTCTCCAGCCTTAGGGGCTAAATTTGGTGGAGAAAGAGGAGCACCGATGAGTCCTCTTATTGCGTTCATCATGTTTTTTCTGAAGATGTATAACTCTATCAGGATCAAACTTGGTAGAATTGGGGGACCACGAACTAAATCTTGTATTGAGCAAAAGGCCTCTACGGAGAACGCATATACCTCGAAATCAAATTTTGGTTGACCTTCAATTGGATGGAATGCCTGAAGTTTCTTTATAATTTCATCCACGGAATCTTCAACTGCACCCACGCCTTCATAAAATTCAATTTGTCCCTGTAGAACTTTCTCGAGTAAACCAAGAACTTTGTCCAACAGAGAATCCATTGCGTGTGCTGTAGATTTTTTTTTTTTGTATTTTTTGGGTGAGTTCAAGAATGAAAGCACCAATTGATACGGTATCGTATCGGGATAGGGAAGGATTTCGAGCACCTTCAAGCTCCAAGAACAAAAGAGGCGAGAAAGAGAGAAAGATTGAAGTTTAGGAGAAAGTATTTTCTTTATTCATTGATAAATAATTCATTGAAATGGATACATTTATAGCTAGTACATCTAAAGAATCCTTACCATAGAAGGAAACTAAATAAT